GGGGTGTGAACCGTCCACGGAGGATGCTGGGGAGGGGTGAGCCATCCACGGAGGATGCAGGGGGTGAGCTATCCACGGAGGACACTGAGGAGGGGTGAGCCGTCCACGGAGGACGCTGGGGAGGGGTGAGCCATCCACGGAGGATGCAGGGGGTGAGCTATCCACGGAGGACGCTGAGGGGAGGTGAGCCGTCCACGGAGGACGCTGAGGGGAGGTGAGCCGTCCACGGAGGACGCTGAGGGGAGGTGAGCCGTCCACGGAGGACACTAAGGGAGGGTGAGCTGTTCACGGAGGACGCTGAGGGAGGGTGAGCCGTTCACGGAGGACACTGGGGTATGAGCCGTCCGCGGAGGACAGCTGCGAAAGGCCGTTGACTGTGTTGTGGCCGGTGGTTTCAGGACTGAGACACTTCCCTGAGTCCTCATGCCTCCTCCCCACATGGGTGTCTGTCGGTGCTGGCTGCTATCCGCTGAGCTGGCAGTGACAGCAATTGTATTGATTTTGTTTCAAAGTAATAGGTGATTGTAGTTGACATAAAATTTTCATTAAAAATAACTACATTTTCAGAACAACAAAAAGCAGATACTAGGAATATAAGAGAAATTTATCAACAGAGGTAAGGCCGTGTGTATAAAACCAAAGCCAATGTCACTCTTTTAACGGAGAGAAATCGTGAAAACATTCCATTTGTGAACAAGAACCAGACGAGCATGCCCTTTATCACCACTCCTGTTCATTACTATGTTGTTAGAAGCCGTAGCCAGAGCTATAAGGCAAGAAAGGGAAATTAAAGGTATCAAATTGGCAAAGAAGAAGTAAAACTGTTTTTGTAGCTGATATGATCCTGTGCTTAGAAAATCCCAAAGAAAGACTCAGCAAAAAAAGTACTGCAATTTACTGAAAGATTCAGCCAAGTGGTGGAGCACAAGATCAGTAACAAAAGTCAGTTGTTCCTTTATACTAATAAAAAGAGCTCTGAAAAGGAAAACAATGCCATTTGCAATAGCCACCCCAAAGATTAAATACTTGGGAATAAATCTAACCAGAGAAACCAAGACCTATATAAGGAAAACTATAAACACTACTACAGGTAAGGAGCTCTGGTAGTGTAGTGGTTACGAGTCAGGCTGCGAACCAACCGCAAGGTCAGCAGTTCGAAACTACCAGCTGTTCCGCTGGAGAAAGATGAGGCTTTCTGCTCCCGGAAAGATGGACAGCCTCGGAAACCTTGTACAGGGTCGCTGTGAGTCCGAACCGACTCCACGGCACATAACCACCACAGGTAAGCAAAAGAGACCTACAAAAATAGAAGAATATACCGTATTCACGAATAGGAAGATAAAACGTTGTGAAAAAGTCAACGTTCCCCAAAGCATATTTATGCAATCCCAGATCAAGTTTCAACATCGTTCTTTAAAGAGATAGAAAAGCTAATCGCTGACTTCATATGAAAAAGGAAAAGGCCCCCCTTTCCCGAAAAGCAAAGCATTACTAAAAAAGAACGAAATAGGGAGCCTTGTCTCTTCCCGATCTGAAAACCTACTGCACAGCCTGGCGGCACTGATACAAAGACAGACAGACGTATAGATCAATGGAACAGAATTGAGAAGCCAGTCCGTCCACCTGTGCTCAGCTGGTCTTTGACAAAAGACCGAAACACATTAAGGGGGAACGAGAGTGTCTTCAACAACAAAGGGTGCTGACACCACTGGGAAGCCATTTGCAGAAGAAGGAAATGACTCAGCTCTCAGACGAATCCAAGAGCAAAGTCAAGACGACGACAATCCAGTTATAATATGGGCAGAGTACGTGGACTCTTCATCAAGGAAGACAAAGGCAGCCAACAAAAGTAAAGAAATGGTTATGACCATTAGCCATTGTTAAATGCTGTCGAGTTGGTTCTGACCCATAGTGAACCTCTGTAGGATTTCCAAAGAGCAGCTGATGAGCTTGGACCGCTGACCTTATGGAACCGACTTTGCAGTCCAGTGCATTGACCCCAGCACCACACCAGGACTCCTTTGTTGTTGTTGTTGTTGTTATGTGCCGTGGAGTCAGTTCCGACTCATAGCGACCCTGTGTAGGGTTTCCGAGGCTATAAATCTTTACGGGAACAGAACGCCTCATCTTTCTCCCGCGGAGCACCTGGTAGTTTTGAACTGCTGACCTTGTGGTTCACAGCCCGATTTGTAACCACTACGCTACCAGAGCTCCTTAGGACTCCTTTAGGGAGATGCAATTCCAAACTAGAATATCACCAAACGCCAAAATTAATGTTGTGAAGTGCTGACAGGTTTGTTCCGATACATAGTGACCCTATATGTGGTTTCCCACTAGTGGCTGGTGGGTTTGAACCTCTGACCTTGTTAGTAGTCCAGTGTTTATCCTACAGCACTATACCAGGACTCATTAATGTTGTTGCTAGGTGTCATTGAGTTGGTACCGACTCATAGCAACCCTAGGCACAACAGAATGAAACACTTTCCAATCCTGGGCCAACTTCACTACTGTTGCCA